TACGTGAGCAGGGGTGGAGTCGCTGATAGCCCCGGTAACAGCTGCCGAGGTGCCAGGGACGGCCTGATCCGCGGACGTAACAGGAGAGCCTTCTTCAGCATTATAGGTTTAGGCCTGCAGGTTTCTACCTGGAGAGACACGACAACTTCTCCTGAAGACGTTTAGATTTTTTTTCTAGCCATCAGCAGCAGTAATGAATGTCACTTCTTCTTTTGGAAAAGTTGTATGCATAGTTGGTTACAAAAGCCTCGTGTAAAACAGCTGGACAGGTGTAAAGAAACATTGATGTGTTTGTCTCTTCCTTAGGCACACTGTGGGCGACACCAAGGTTCCTTTCTGTCTGCAGTCATGCGTTAAGCCACTGAAATACGCCATCGCCATTCACGACCACGGCATGGAGTATGTGCACCGCTTCATCGGTAAAGAGCCCAGTGGCCTGCGATTCAACAAGCTCTTCCTGAACGAGGAAGGTGAGGAAACATCACACACACTCACCTGCTCCTCATATGAACCTCTGCTCAGTAACTTGGCTGACTGAACTCTCTCTCCACACTCATATACTCTCAGTAACAGGATCCGTCTCCAGAACTGGTTGCCATGGAACTGAGATAAATTGTTAATGAGAAGTTGCAGCACAGAGGCAGAATAAAACAGGACAGCCAGTGTGTGAGAGAGATGTACTAACTGGAAACGACAGGCTGCTGCATGCTGCTCTGTAAAAAGCAGCCAGGACCGAGCAGCAGAGACAGTCAAAGTAACCATTTGGGGTTTCACCACCAAGGCCACGTGAAATACCCAGTGTCTTGAACACTGGATAGGCCTTACTGACATTTTGTGTCTGCATTTTCACCACTTAATGTCAACACATTAACTCAGGTTTGGACAAGACTGAAAGACTCTGTCCTGGAAAGTCACTGAACAAACACACTACTGTGCAGCCACTGTCGGCAGACGTTCCATCAAACACCAGGCTCTGTAAACATGGTCTGTTTTTGAGTGGAAGCTGGTGTGAGGATGTTTCTGGGTTTCCTCTACTTGTTACCTAACGGAGAAAAACAACGGAAATTCTACATTTCTTTTATAAACATTGTTCTAGCCTGTTGTATACGAAGATTGAAACAGAGGGGAGTTTTATTTTTAAGTTGCTTGTTCTCTCCACTTTCATGTATCAGGAAGAGTCAAAATCATCATTAACATCTAGGCTGAGACCGTTTTCTTTGCTGATAATAATCCTCATTTCCTCTCTTACAGATAAACCACACAACCCCATGGTTAATGCTGGCGCTATCGTCTGTACCTCCCTCATTAAGGTAAGCTGCATTTGCACACCCCATCATACATTAATACATTTGTTTTGGAAACTAATGAGCCAAAATACAAAAGAATAACCAGACTTCTGTGCCTGAATCTTGTAGGTGATTCAAGAGTTTGTTTTAAAAAAAAAAAAAGCATAAAATCCTGAAATGTATGATTTAATGTCTTTAAAATCTAGATTTTCACATGTTGAGGGCTTTTATTTTGATGTCACTGAATTTCGGACTGCAGCTAGAAGGTAGTGGCCAAGGAGAATTTGTCTGCAATGAAATGATAATAATCATGTGTAGAACGTGTTTCTGTCAGATTACCGTGTACAAGCAGATTATAGATAATCACGCTGAAAGGGGATTTGGTTGAGAGCAGCATCAGTCTGCACAGACACACACCATTCAGAGAGTGGAGGTGGAGTCAGCTCAGCTTTAATGAGGGCAGCTGCTCTGTTACCTGAAGGTTTCATTAAATATCCTGCTCTGACCTTCAGACACACAGGGAGCTGGTATCGCCTCTGAAAAACAAGAGCACTGCCTGAGTTAAGACTCAAACAAGTCAGATTTGACCCATGTTTCCCCAAATGACCAGTGAGGATCAGCAGGAGTCCACAGGAAAATCAGGAGCAGTTTAAGTACAGAAGCTTCTCTCTCCTCAAGAACAGACAGTTGAGCCAAGAGTTACAGCTCAGCTTACTCTGATGTGAGTAGAAAAATTCATTTTATACAAGAAGCAGGCTTTGAAAGTGTTAGTTTGTCCAGTGTTGACTACGGTGGGCAAAAGCTGAACTACTCTCCTTCAGTTTATAATTCTGTTCTGGTCATGTGCTAAATATTACTGAACGTTAACGAGCGATTGCTTTATTTTTTAATATTACAAACTCTTGTGCTGGTTGTGTTAAGATCATAGGATAACTTTAGCCCAAACCGTGGCATCAGCCCCTTTACCGAGACAGGCTCTCCTGTCTCAGGAGGCAGGAGTTACCCTCTCCTCCATTATTGCCAGGCACTGCTGACATTCATTAAGAAAGACAGCAGTGATAAACTAATGAGCACAGCAATCTGTTAAACTGCTGGCAGCCAGTGAGTTTGCAAATTGGACAGCAGATGTAATAGCTGTTCTTGGATACTGTCATATAGAAATGATACCAGTAGAATAACCTTCCAGCATTGTAATACCCTTCCCTGTAATATTATACATTTCAGCGTTTTACCATGTGACAAGCTTTCAGGCTCATGGATCTGGACTGGTTGTGTACTGTCTCACCAGCACAGCTGCTTGTATTAGAATAGCGTAGGACTGTCGAATGAAGCAAACCACCAAATTCAGCCTGCAGCCTTTATGCTGCTGTCACAGATTGATTCACAAACTAGGTGATTTGGCTCCCTTAGTAATGGAAAGGAACTGCCACGTCACCAGTACACAGACACTACAGTGGTTCAGGGAGAGGCTGTGGAGTTTACTGCTGATTTCCATATCCAGGTACAAAATAACAAAACAGCTGTCGTGTTACTGTGGATGCTGTTGTTTGTGTGAGCTGAGGAATCACCACTCTGTTATCCTCACATCATATGGGAATGATGGCCAGAATGTACTCGGAATTTAAAACACTCAACATGATAATCACCTCATTGGGATTTGGGGTTTAACAGTGCTACGTATATAATGAATCAGGGACAAAGAGAATATCTGGAGCTACGTTCTGTTGTTCTGATCATTGTCCCCATATGATGTGAAAGATGTTTTCTTGTCACTGAATCTCAGTCACTCACTGTTGAGATTTCTGCAGCTGAAGTTTGAATGTGTGCATTGATCCAAATAATAAACCCAGGTTCTGTCAGGGGCTGTTGCATGCATCCTCCCTCTGAATCTAGATCTGCTCTTCAGCTACACTCATGTGCAATGTATCTTTTTAAGGCTCGTTGTGTGGTTTTATGTGTTGTTGCATATTTTCCAGCATTAGGATCTTTGGGAAATTATGACCACTGCAACAGGTCAATGACGTTGGTAATTTCTCCTTTTTAATTATTTTCCCGCTCTATGGTCTGGACTTGTGACAAGCTTGTAGCCTTCACATGGCTCTTTATGAATGTTTCAGTGTTGCTTTTATACTTTCCACCTGCATTCTCCAAACTGTTTATACGTCTGGATTATAAACAGTACAACACGTACTCAGCTCAACACTGGTTTTATATCATAATCATCATTCTGCAGAGAAGAACTTCATTTTATGTTCATTTTCGTTATCTATTTCTGCTTTAGATATCAGACTAAGCTTGTCTTTACTAGCCAGTGCAGAAAAATTCTTTAACTTTAGCATTTGCTGTTGTCAAGTTAAAACAATCTTATTGTTTGTCACCTGCAACCAAGGATAAAAACCAAACTGTGTATCTGCACTGCGAGCAACATGGCTAACAAGTCAATGTGCGGCTGGTTTTGTACATGAAGACTTTGTAAGCAGCAACACAAAAGCTTGGCATCAAGGTTGTTGCTGTGTTGACATTGTCTCCAAGAACCAGAGGAAACTGTCTGGAGGTAGACAGCTCAACAAAGTCCAGCTAAAGTCAGATAAGTCTGTGTAGTAGGGCTCTTACTGTATGTAAAGTAGGATTATTTTCATTACCAACCAATCTAGTCCTTTTTAAAAAACTATGAAACATAACTTTAAAAACTGAACATAACTTTGTAGAGCTCAATGTGACGCCCTCGGTTTCTTCTTTTGTTCAAGAAAAAGTCAAGCACCACAAATGTTTACCAAGACCCTCGCTGGTGTGCACGGACACTAAATACCCCCGGGTCTTTGACAAGCCCCTTGCACTGGTTTGGGCTGGCGGAATCCTTGCAGGCTGGAAGGCTGCGCTAACAAAACCTCAGGAATTAGAAGTTTTCAGTGTGCGTACAGCTTTTCCTTTTCACAAGTCTGTTCCACTTCCAGACAGACAAAAGAAAGAAGGACAATGATAACATGGGCCTCCTGCTCAAGAGATAGTGTATGTATACGTTTATCAAATTTAACAAGAAACCCAGTATCTAAAAGATGAACATAGCATTAAAATATAAATATAGTGTAATAAAGAGATGTAGTAAGTTGTCAAATACAAATCTAGTAGGTTTTGTGAGTTTGGAATCTGGCTGAAATGATCTTGCCGTCACCAGCCAGAGGAAGCGACCTCTATCAGTTTCTGCTGGTTTTAGTGACGTGGTCATGTGGTTCGCAGTGTGGACTCACCGTAAAAGTCGAGTGCCCGGCCACAGCTTTAGACAGCACACACGCCTGTAGACTCGCAGTACTCAGGTCAGTAAGTTCTACCTGTAGTACTGCAGTTCGTATTCACCGTGTAGTCAGCGATGACACAGGCTCAGTCAACAAGGTCCTACTTTCTTTGATGCTTTTCATGATAATTTCTTCATTTCTTTTACAAAACCAGAAACCTTGAGTGAATTAACTCTTTTATTTCACTCCCTCCATCTCCAGCTAGTCTCCCACCTCTAATCTTAATTCATCTGATGCCATAACTGGTTTGATTGGTCACACAACTGATGGAGTTTAAAACAGTAGTAGTCCTGTTGTAGTTTAATATCGTAGAGATTAAGGATAATAGTGTTAATGTCATGACATGGGTAACTGGTAGAGCCACTGGCAGCCTGTGTTTTTAGATGTTTGTGACTGCACAGTGGGTTTGTTAATACTGTCGTTGTTCTGTTTGTGTTGCAGCAAGGGGCAAGCAACGCCGAGAAATTTGATTATGTGAGTATGACTGCAGTGCATTTTGGTCAAAGATATATGGAAAATAAATTTCCAAACAGATGTTACCAGTGTAGAGAACGGTTTCTTTAAACTCTAAGTGAAGTTGGACTTGTTATTCTGCAGGTCATTTTGTTGATTCATCGATCTCTATAAAGTGAAAATCACAATTCTACAAAGCTGAACTTGTCACATTCAGCACCAGATTTTATGTTTAGTGCCATGAAAAATAAAGAAAACCAGCACATGTTGATGTTTAAGAAGTGAACACTTTGCATTTGTGGTTCCAGTTTAATTTTTGACGGTGTGACATCTTGTTGCTTCCTTAATGTGATGCCTTTATTTTGTACAACTGCGGGTGGGGACTGACAAAAACAACGGGCAATCTGTGGGGAATAATTATAACTTAGCTTTTTAAAGTCGGTATGTTTCTTGAATATTGTGCTGTGGATTATTTGGAAACCAATTTTAATTTGATTTATTAACAGTCTCTTTCTCTGCGTCTGTTCCTGTGCAGGTCATAAACTTTATGAACAAACTGGCAGGAAATGAGTACGTGGGCTTCAGCAACGCCACGTGAGTCCAGCAGATACGCTGCAGTGTTTGGTTCAGAATGTGGCTTTATTGGTTTATTATATCAGTGACTCTTTGAACAAATGAAGGTGTGGAGGGGTCGTCTTTTAGAGACAAAACGATTCAGTCGGCACAGTTGGAGTTTTACATGACGAGAGCGGAGTTTGGGTTTTAAACTTTAAATATCCTCCGTCTCTTGTGTGTCCCAGTTTCCAGTCGGAGCGCGAGTCTGGAGACAGAAACTTTGCCATTGGCTACTACCTGAAGGAGAAGAAGGTGAGGTCGAAGGTCGTCTCCAGCTGGGGGCTGAGGAGGGACATTAGTTAGTCTGAGCAACTGTTTGGGTTCTTTTCTCTGAACCAGACCTAGTTATATTTTTGTATTCAGTCTAAGCTCACACTGCCAAATTATAACTCACATTAATTGATCAGTTTGTGAATGTGGTGAGTGCAAGCTCCATTTTAATGTTTTCATTTATCTTCACTCAGCAGCTTTGTTGGCGTTTTGAACACAACCATTCAGAGTTTATCGCAGCTTAATCCTTTAATATTTTGTTCTCCTTTTATTTACACTGCTCCAATTAAAGTTGTTACTGCAGGAACCCGCTTTGTTGTTTTGACTATAATTATTACATAATTTGATTTTTGTCCTTTAAAGCTGAGGAGAAGCAGCAAGTGTGTGACAGTGTTTTTGTCCTTGTAGTGTTTTCCAGAGGGGACAGACATGACCTCTATCCTCGACTTCTACTTCCAGGTAAATAACGCTTAGAAAAATGAGGAATGAAATGCTGAAATGAAATACTTTGACAGATGTTTTATTATATCTGGTTTGTAAGTGCTGGAAAACTCATAGTAAAGGTTATACTACTGGTTTCCTTTCCTCAACTTAAATGTTCAAGTTTGTTGATTTTTTTTTTTTTTTTTTTAAGTTAGCATTTATTTACCATATTTTCTGCACCATAAGGCGCACTGGATTATAAGGCGCAGTCTCAATTATGGGGTCTATATCTGTACTTAACCCATACATAAGGCGCACCGTATTATAAGGCGCATGCTAAAACGTAACAGAAGCAAAACAGTGAGTTTAGTTGAACTTTATTCTACTATTTGAAGCTACAGAAGCAGCTCAGTATCATCATACTGGAATCAGTATTTGTTTTGATCAGTGTGACAAAAGGTTCTCCCTGTTGGTGTAGTACTATAAACCTTGGTCTCTTTCTACCCCTTCCCGCTCAGTTGTGCTCCATTGAGGTGACCTGTGAGAGCGCCAGTGTCATGGCGGCAACTCTGGCCAATGGCGGCTTCTGTCCGATCACAGGAGACCGTGTGCTGAGCCCCGAGGCGGTGCGAAACACTCTGAGTCTGATGCATTCCTGTGGCATGTACGACTTCTCCGGGCAGTTTGCGTTCCACGTCAGTACCTCATTCATGTGATGTGATCAGACATTTGTACAGATGATCTTTTTTTTTGACAGCAACACATCCTCATCCCTCTGCTTCAGGTCGGTCTACCGGCAAAATCTGGTGTCGCTGGTGGAATTCTGCTGGTTGTTCCAAACGTGATGGGCATCATGTGTTGGTCTCCGCCTCTCGACAAGCTGGGTAACAGTGTCAGAGGCATCCAGTTCTGCACGGTAACCTCAGCTTCAGCTTTCTCTCTTTGCTCCAAGCTTTGTGTAACTTAAAACAGTGGTACCTAACTGGTTCCCTGCAGCCTGGGGTGATGAACTCTGTCACACTCTATCACTGCTTACTGTTGTTGTTATGCTACCTGTGTTTATATTTGAAAAGTCAATCTATTAGTGTCAGTGAACTGTGCCGGAGACCTTCTCTTTGGTCATAGTGGTGTACAAATATACAGTATTCATGTGCATATGCTCCTGCTTGTCTGCTGACCTGACTGTCTGCTTCATGCAGGACTTGGTTTCTCTCTTTAACTTCCACAACTATGATAATCTGAGGCACTTTGCTAAGAAACATGATCCTCGCAGGGAAGGAGGAGACCAGAGGGTGAGTCCCAGCAACATGCTCCTTCATCAGCTTCCAAACACCCTCCTCTTGTCCTCCTTTAAGGCTGAAAACACTTTCTTTTGCCATCTTCTTGTTAATGTTGTTTATTTTTAGTGTATAATGTCCCTTTAACAGGCAGCAAAATATTGTCCAGACCGGCTGCGTCACATCCTCTCTCTGTGTGACCTTGGCTGTGGGACATTAATCCACAGCACCACCTGCTGGAAAATGATCATAACGGTGTTGAATTGATTCCTGAACTCTTTCTAAAGTTGGACACTTAACTGTCTCTCCTGCAGTTTATGTAGTGCTTTTCTAGAGTTTTAAGCTACTTCACAGAGACAACAATCAATAAACAGGATAAAATGCATGACTATAAGAAAGTCACTTTCGGCTTTTCCTGTTTAGGGGTCGCCACAGCAAATCGTCACACTGACGACTCACATGTTGACATTTGGCACGTGATAAAATACATGACTATACAGTGCATTATGTATATCATTATGCTAACCAAAGTTCTGTGGGATCCCTGGTTGTATCTCTGTGACTGAATCTGTAAATATCTGCCTGTAAAGTGAATTATTGGTGTTGTCATCTAGAGAGCAGTGGGTCCTGTCAGCTCCCTTCTTCTTGTTAAATGCTCTGGGTTAAACTGCTTCTGCTTGTGTTTCAGGTGAAGTCAGTGATCAATCTGCTGTTTGCTGCTTACACAGGAGACGTCTCAGCGCTGAGGAGGTACATAGTACTCCACTCTTTTCTTTAAAAGGTTAAAACTACAAAGCATTGTTATGTCGCAACATGCACTGATTTCACTGCAGGTTTTTCTTCCTTCTGTTAACTCTGACCTCTTTGCTCCTGGTTCATTTAACGAAGCTGTTTCTGGGTCTGACATTTATTTGTCCAGGTTTGCACTGTCCTCCATGGACATGGAGCAGAGGGACTATGACTCCAGGACGGCTCTGCATGTGGCAGCGGCTGAAGGTAGAATGTTGACGAGAAAACAGCTCATGTCTAAATGAGCCAGTTTAATCAGCGTGTTTCTGTTTGTGGAGCTGATGTGTGTGTGTGTGTGTTTTAGGACACACTGAGGTGGTGCGTTTCCTGCTGGAGGCCTGTAAGGTCAACCCAGTTCCCAAAGACAGGTACCACTCAAACACCTGGAGACTGTCTGACAATTGGAATTGGCACTGAATATTTACAGTGGGGCAAAAGTATTTTTCAGGTTTTCCCACTTAGAGAACGGACAGTTCTGTAATTTTCATTGTAGGTACACCTCAACTGTGAGAGACAGAATCTACAAAAAATTCCAGAAAATCACAATGTTAGATTTTTAAATAATTTATTTCCATTTTATTGCATGAAATAAGTATTTGATACAATAGAAAAACTTAATAGAACTTAATATTTAGTACAGAAACCTTTGTTTACAATTACAGAGGTCAGACGTTTCCTGTAGTTCTTGACCAGGTTTGCACACACTGCAGCAGGGATTTTGGCCCACTCCTCCATACAGGTCTTCTCCAGATCTTTCAGGTTTTGGGGCTGTTGCTAGGCAACACGGAGTTTCAGCTCCCTCCATAGATTTTCTAATGGGTTCAGGTCTGGAGACTGGCTAGGCCACTCCAGGACCTTGAAATGCTTCTTA